CGTTTTTTGGGTTAGCGCAAGCACAAGTGGCGTTCTTAGCGTATTCTAACCCCGCAGACCTCCTGGTCAGAGCTGAACTTCCACAAGCAGCCTCTCATTCTTACATCCGCACACAATACTTCCTTCCACAATGGTGATGCGTAAAGCAGAGACGAATCTTCGACACCGGGAAAAGCGCTACGACTCGGCGAAACTGACTATTCGGGAGCTTCGGCGCCTACTACTGCCCTATAAGGACGATGAATCAGCGGATGTGGTTCTCAAAAACAAAGGGAATCGCCAAATCCTTGAACGATGGTACCAGTCGCTCCATGACAACTTTAGGAAGCGAAGCATCAAACCGGCTATCAATAATGCTGCGGCAATCAAGTCAATCGAACATTCACAATTGAAGGTCGACGATTCAATTTCTGGCCATCTTTGCCTATGGGATAATAATCCAGGGACCTTTTGGTGGCCAGAGCCGGAAAAGTTTCCTGTCGAGCACGGGTCATTGAGCTCAACTGACGCATACCGCAAGTTCTTCACCGTCTCCGCGATTCACATCTGCAAGCAATTTTCGACTTATAGAGTCTTATGGAGGTTCACAACGGTTGCTGTGTACTTGCATTTTCGACGTTGGAAGCCTGAAATAGATTCTATCAGGAAGAGCCATGTCCAGGACTTTTTACGTTTTCTGAGATGTGATGCCTCTGACGACGCGACTACTACTTGTCTGTTTATCATCAAAGCTGGGCAACGCCGAATTTCGTTCTGTTATCTTCTGACACGCTTCAAATAACCAACGATGCGACAACAATGGAACCAATAAGGTCGCAAACGAGAATGAACTATTCAGAAGCGCACTGGGAATATTCTTTTATGATATCATACCAGATTCAATGTATGTATTTATTTGTCAGATGCGAGTATATACTAATGATCATAGATGGGACACCGACCGCGGCCTTGTCCAGAAAGATTATGGTACTGTCGTACGGCACCTCCATTCGATCAAAATCATGACCCCCCCGAAGCAATATGACACTTTTCGCCTGGCAAATAAATTATTGGACTATCAGAGCTCAATGTTCTGGCCCAACGAAAGTGAAAAGCAAATCTCTCTCGAACAAGGTCAAACACAAATGACTGCTACGGAGGCGGCTGGGATGTTGAGTTCTCTCGCGACCTCGGAAACAAGAGGCTACTACGCAATGCAGAAGCAACCTGCTTGCGAGCTGCCTCGTGCTGGCAACTCTCCTCATACGGGGTTTTTGCCAACCGCCAGAAAGAAAGCAAGACGGCAGCCAATCACTACACAGCTGGCTATAAAGTCCCACAAATATGACAGAGTACCCCACATCTCTGCCAGGCAATGGCTGGTGAGGTCCAGCAGGCTCCTAGTGCACAAAGCCAGGGTGGTGGTGCTGCAAGTACGCAAGTACATCGAGCAGAAGTACCTAGGAAGGGGAAGCTCCTGGGGACAGTGGCATTTTTGGGGCTGGGGGAGCAAGAGTATATCAAAGAAATCACTGATCCAGAAATGTCCTCTTACCAAACTTGCGGTAGGCTGGTGCTGGCCACAAGTGGAGGATACCTCAGCATAGGTACCAAGGCAGCAGGGACCCCTGTCAACGCCAAATTTAGCGCCTCTGCTTCTTGCCGCCAAAGTGCTCACAACAGACCAATGCGCAGCTGCAACATGGCCTAAGAGCATGGTTCACGGATAGAAGTCGAAAATCGACATGTTCGGCGTTCTTACAACCATCCTGGTTGCAAAGACGCCGAGTCTGGATGACAACCTTGAACCGCAGCAAGAATGAGTCAGGCAACTGGTCCTCCGCAGGTCTGTAGCGCTGCCTCAGGGCAACACGTGGTGGCTCACCCTCGCAACGAGAGAAATCGAGCTACGCAGCTCACAAGAGAGTTCAAATCGCAAACAAAAGTAATTATGTTGGGATTTCTAATATTGTTTAATGCATAATCAGATTCATCCCCTTACTTACACTGTAGAAAAAAAAGGTAGGCCCACTAGCCTAAGGCGCCTGTTGCTTAGCGTGATGGCCTGTAAGCACCCACTAATAACCGCTCGTTTTTAGTTGTTCCAGTGCACGCTAAATTTGAAAGATAGAGTGGGAGCTGAAGCTGTTTTTGCACCAAACTATTCAGTACGACCGGAGTGGTGACTCCGGCACCGTTGCTAGGCCTCGCCAGCCTGGCTTGGAGGGAACATGAAGGTCTTGTACCTTTGTCGCACCTCCACGCTTTCGTA